ACCCATGAAATTGCGAATGGTCGACGAAGAATCAACATTTTAGACCCCGCGAACCCTGGGATGAAAATCACGATCCTACGCGATTCCGGTGACTGAACGATGGAAACTATGTCGATGTATGAGTAAGAGGATGGTAGGGACTATGTCGGTTGCGGTGGTTGTAGCGAAAAGGGCGGAGGCGACATATTAAGTTTAGGATTTGGGTTTTTGGATTCGTTTTATAATATAAGAAAAGTTAGTGTTTTTATAAATATTATACTTTTTTTCAAAATCGCCAGATTGTGACACGCGTTAAGGGAGAAAATTAACGATGTTGATGGTTCGGACACCTAAATGATTAACATTTGTAATGTTATGTACTTGAATGAGTCAAAAAATTGTTTAAGCACCTATTTAGTAAAATCGATATAATTTGAGCACTTATTGTATTAAGCCTTATCAAAATTATGAGAAAAACTTGACAAAAATATTATTTTTTGTTTGGATATATTCTAGACATAGGCTATGAACTAATCTATGCGAAGTCCGTCTTTAAATGTACGATCGAATTCTTGTTTCATTGAGAAGTACCGAAAAATCTCATTCTCATGAATAAAATTGAAAATGAGATGAGACAGATCGTTAGATGTTCGATATTGATTCGTTCAAAGTTTAATAAATACTCGATTTGAATGAACTCGACTTGAACTCGATTTAAATGGACTTGACTTGAGTTCTTAATGAGCCGAAACAAACTACTTGATACTCGACTCGAAAAGCTCGTGAGTATCTCGAAAATATAATATATTAAGATTTTATTTTTTAAAAAATAAATTATTAATAATATTAATATTTATGTGTTGACTTAAAAAATGAATTATAAGATTTTCATGTATTTAAGGCTCATGTTCGAGTTTTAGTTTAAATCGAGTTTAGTTTAAGATTTATTTTTCATTTCCAATCTTTTCGAGCTTTTACGAATTTCAGTTTATGATTTCGAGTTCGAATCGAGCTTGAAAATTATAGGTTCGTTAGTTTTCAAGCTGAACTGAGCTCCATTTCAGAGTTTTCGAGTCGAGTCAAACTTAACAATTCTCGAGCTTGACTCGACTCGTTTACATCTCTAATAATAAATTCTCATAAACTGAAATGCACCATAAATCCTCGAATTCACAGTTTTTCAAGCATACATGTTCTACTCATCAAATTCAATCCAAAATGAAAGAAAGAAAGGGTAAGAAAAATGGAAACAGAACCTGCAAAATGTCGCTCAATAAACTCGGATTTTCTAGCTATAAACAAGTTTTCTCAGGTTTTTCCCTCCTTTTGACAATAGGATAAATGGGTAAATTATTTGAAAAAATAGGACAAGTAAAAGTTTATTTTGAGATATACGGTATTTTTATAGTATTCATGAAACTCGTCACCTCCAATAAAAAAATTATTTAAACTCTTCACGTCGAGATGATGAATTCTAATAAAATATTTTTTTTAAATTTCATCACATTGGGGCAAAAAAATTGAAATAAAAAAAGATTTTTAATGAAATGCGTCGTAAATCCCTAAATAATTGTATAAAACAATTAATTTTTAGCTATAAAAATTATATTCTATTACTTTGAATAATTGATTTAATATTACATTAATAAATCATGAAAAAATAATGCTTATTGTTTTATTAAAAAAACATATTAAATACAACTAAAAAATAAAATAAAAATTAGATTTTGGTATGATATGAATATTGATTTTGAATAATAAATAAAAAAATAAAAAATAGTATATTATTTTACCGTTAGATTGAGATTGAAGAGAACTAACAATTACATAATAGTTTATAAAGTGAAGAATGCAGTTTAAAAAAGAAGAAAAAATGATTTTATTTAATTCAAAAATTAAGTGAATTAATGAGAGATGGATAAATGGATGGGAAATTAAGAACTTAATTAAAAAAATAAGGGTCTCGATTATAAAAACTAAAAATTGATATTGAAAAAATTATGGGCATAGATTATAAAGGTAAAAGGTGGGATTCAAAAAATTAAGGGTTCAATTATATAAATAAAAATTATGATTGAAAAAAAATTAAGATCCTCAATAAAAGTAACATGTGAGATTAAAAAAATTTGGAACCTTAATTATAAAAATAAATAACGATATTACAAAAATTGTGAACTTTAATTATAGAGATAAAAAATAAGATCGTAAAAAATTAAGATTCTCAATTATAAAGAAAAAAAAATTAAAAAATAGACCCCTAAGTAACTGCTTAGGATGCTCCCCCATTAGTTGGCTCTGCCAACAACACTGTCACCTACGACCTGGCCTTGTTCCTCGACTATGTATATACAGGGGCGTATCCAGGCCTACGCCTGCCTAGGCCATGGCCCCCATGCCAAAAAAAGAGTAAATTATTTATTCAGTCACTAATTTATTATTTAGATTTTGTTTTTACCATTCAATTATTATTTATTTTAAATCATACTTAATGTTATATTTTTGTTCTATTTTGGTCTTTCATCTTTAAAAGATTAGCAGTGATGTTGACGTATCATTATAAGATAATATCCTGTCATGATTGAAAAATAATTAAAAAAATGTCATATTAACATCATTCTTAATTTTTTTAACGGTAAGTGATCGAAATATAACCAAATCGTAAAGTTGACTATGATTTTAAAAATAAAAATAATAGTTAAGTGACCAAAATATAAATTAAGTAATATATGGGTGACCAAATAATTAGTTTACCCTAAATAAAAAAATATGTATGAATTATGTTAAAAAATTATATTAGTCCAATTAATATACTTTTTCTAGATTTAATCCCCCACACACATATTATATATATATATATAATGTTTATTATATTTTTAAATAAAAAATATATATTTATTATTTTAGATAATTTTTTTATTATATTTATATTGACTCGACTTACAAATTTTTTATGGATTCGCCACAGTGTATATAGTTAGACTCGTTGTTGAAGGCAATGTTGAAGGAGGCAAGAATGAACGCTACACTAATAATATCTCAAAACGGCCATGTAAGCTCACTATTACATCGGTTGAGATTAGGGTTGTAAATAAGACGAGACAGATTGCGAGCTATTAGAGATCGAATTGATCAAGGTTCGATAAATACTCCTCGAGCTCGACTTGAATTCTTAACGACTCGAAATGGGCTACTTGATATTCGACTCGAAAAGCTCGTGAGCAGCTCAAAAATATAATATATTTAGATTTTATTATTTTTAAAAATAAATTATTAATAATATTAATATTTATGTGTTTATTTTTTTTAAATACAGTAAGACTTTCATGTACTTCAGGTTCAAATTCGAGTTTGAGGATTCAATATATTTAAGTTTAAGATTTTTTTTTCAATTCAAACCTTTTCGAGCTACTCACGAGCTTCAGTTCAGGATTTCGAGTTCGAGTCGAGTCGAGCTCCTTTCAGAGTTTTCGAATCAAGTCGAACTCTGCAATACTCAAGCTCGTTTACACCCCTAGTCAAGATAGGTTGTCGAAGCATAACATTAGCAACGTTCTTAGTCCATCTTTGGCGTTGTTTGGCAAATGTGGTGATGTTATCTACGATGTCACATCTATCGTCGATCTTCATCACGTGAATGTGTAGAGCATTGATGTTGTCTCGAGTAACGAAGATGTGAGGCTTAGGTTTGCTCTTTGAGCCATCATGTCTACCTTATGACATTCTGCTGATATTACTTTCATCGCTATGGATATCGAGCTCTTTATCTTTGACTATATCATCACTATCATTATTGTCGTAATCACATTTCTTTATGTCGTTGACGTTGTCGCCCATGTTAACCAACACTAATGTGTTAGGTAAGTTTTTCATCATCCACATTAACGATTGTTAATATTGAATGGTCGATTATTATAAAACTTTGATTACTTCATTAATTTTAAAACTTTAATGAGGAAAACGAAAAGTTACGCAAAGATTAGTAACCATTTGTGTAGTTTACCAAAGCAAATTTTTTACCAATTTCAGATTCCCACATTGCCCTTCGGGCTTACGTGGAATGATTGATTAACTCAAAAAGACTAAATGGTGAACGTGAAAGTCAAATATATCGACGGTGACGATGACCCCAAGGAGTTTGGATTTAACCGGTACTCGAAAATGATGAAAGGGTAGAATTGGTAGAAGAAAAGTAATATAACACATCGAAATTGAAAACCTAAAAAGGGAGTTGTATTCAACTTGGAGAATCAAGAGGAGCGATCGGAAAGGTACTGCCTGCCCTCCCCAATTGCTTTTTCGGTTTCTTATCTCCGTGTAGTTGAAATTTGTTCGGTGAAGATCGATTGTTATTAATTATAGGATTCAATTAGCTCTACACTTCATTCAATTGATTGTTATTTATCGCCTTCATCATCCTTTTTGGTTATAGCTTTAATTACTTGTATGTTTCTGTGCTTTATTATTATGATTTTTTTTATATTTAGGGATTTCAGATTGATTAGTTTTGTAACCTATGCAATCACTTTTGGTTTCCTTCTCTTTTGCCCTTGATTCATGGACTAGTCAACTGGCTTAGGCAGCGTCCATTTTGTATGTACATGAATTCTTTCTGTCGTTTTTTTTTTTTGTTCTTGTGAAATTGTAAGAGAGGTAAACTTAAAATCTTTGGACATAATAGGGTTGACGTTCAGGAATTGGGAATCTTAGTGACTCAACATAGCTACTTAAATTTGCTTATGAATGTAGCTCTAGGATCATGAGATGTTACTGCCAGGTTTTTTCATGATGGAGCAGCTGTTGAGAAGTAGCTTATTCAGGATAATTCCATCTTCTCATGGCCTCGATTAGCATGTTCTGTTATGAGGTTTGACATGGTTGTTCTCCGGGGTTTGAGTAGCTAGGCTTTTTCCACATTTGGTGTTGTAGTTTCCTGTCTTTTCTGGTACCTAATTCTCAATTCCTAGTTTCATCAACTCAAAACATTGTTTGCCCTTAATCACTTTCCAGTTTGGTTCTGATCTTGACACTCTTATGCATTAATATAAAGTTAATGCCTATACAGGCGTGATTGTAGCATGAATCAGTAATATCACTCTTTATTGTATACATAATAGTTTACTGCTTGATTATTTATATCTTAAAGTTTCGCTTAGTTCCTATCAAAAAAATGTTTCGCTAAGTGATTATGATAATGTTTCAGTGGATCAGGACTACTAGAAGCTTGCTGTGGCACTCCAGACTTCCCGATGAGGTACTTCTGAATATCTTACTTGTTCTTTTTATTTGGTTTCCTTTTATTTCTCTTTTGGAAGGAGATGATTAGTGGTTACCTTATCTTATTCAAATGTATTTCTGTCGTTATTCTTATAGCATTTAATAAGAACTTGTTACTATATTTGAAGTTTTCTTCTTTTTTTCTAAACCTAATTTCTGAATCTGATGGCCAAAAAGAAAACAATCTAACTTATTCAGCTTCATCACTTGGCTTTTATTCACCCCATTAGGTTTTAGCTATTTTTATCTAGACATGACTTTTTTAGTATATTAACCTTGCAGAATGTTCATTTTAATATGATCCGGTTTTTGAGAAAATCAGTATTTAAACATCAATATTATGTCTTAAAAATGAATAGAAAAGAAGATGGAACTCAAATAACATAGGATTATAGCAAACCTCTAGGTTCTCTTTTGTAATTCAAGGATAATAATAGCAATAAAGTTTTGTCTATCTATATCTTACAGCTTATTTATACTATAGTTACAAATAAAGTTCTAATCCTAGCCCTAGAGTTAATTCCTAAAGGAACTTATAGTATACTTATCCAGAAATCAACTTTGTAGCTTCGCCTCTATGCCTTGAATTTTTAATCCTGTTTCTTGACTCAAGTAGTTGAGAACTAGCTGTGTTTTTTTAAGGGTGTTCCCATTTTGGTAATACTTATCAGTTTATATACTTCAATTTTTATTTCGGCATAGTTTGCCTCTTGCAGCTTTTGTAGTTACAATATTCTTAGTTGTGTTTTGCATCTAATAGTTCTTTCTTGGGGGTAACAGTAGGCGTGTAAGATGGAATGAGGAAAATCTGGGGGAAATTGAAGCGAATAAACCAGTAAGGCAGAAAATAACTGAACCCAAGACGCCGTACCACCCCATGATTGACGATGATGATGGTATCTCACTTGCATAGTGTGTTTCCTCATGCATATACCTATATTTTTACGCGTGGATATGTCTGCGAATTTAGAAAATGGTTCTGTTGTAGTTTTGTTTTCACTTTTTTTGTACTTTGGTTAGAGCATTATTCTTTAAATTGGATTACATTTCTCACCTTACTAATCTAGATCTTGGTTAGGGTCTTTGTCTCCCAGAGGACGTAGTTTCAACGATTGTGTCACTGATATGGATGCTGAGGAATTACGCTCTGCTTTGAAAGATGTGGCTTCCTCGAGTAAAAAAGCAACAGGGCAATCTGGTGGCTGGACATCTTCTGACGATGAGGCTGATCATATGGATCATGAAGATGAAGGTTTGTTGACCATTGCTTGTAATTAAGTTGTCTTTTCCCATAGCATATGGAAGTGTTTTTTATTTTCCTTTAGGTTGGTTAGCATTTCTAATGACTGGTTTATCTTTCATGAGATTAAAATTTAGCAAAAATCCTTGTTGGTGCGAACGATACAAAGTTTGCTCTAGTAGACAGCCTTTTGATGGTTAAAGCTTCCTTGTTATCCAAGTGATTCGTCGGGCACTTTTCTTTTGGGAGGGAGGGAGATTGATTGTTGAAATGGTCAGGAATCACCTCATTTTGTGTGGTTGAAAGATTGATGATGAACTTTATCCTTAAAGGGCTGCTTTCTGAACTTCTGGTTTAAATTAGCTTGGAATGTTCCATCGATTTCTTGTGCCATTTTCTCTAGGTTCCAATCATCTGTATGAACCTCTCGGTTTTCTCTGATTGACAAATAAAACAGGAAAAAAAAATAACATTTTAAAATTAATTAACTTACCCCATTCCAGAACATTGATGAAGATGGCCAAATACAAGTGATGAAGGTCCAACACCACTCATTGGCCTTCCCGATCCCTATCTATCTTACCTCTTTTAGTTCATTGATTGTTTACAAATTTATGTCCTGTGTTAAATCTGTGTTTGATGATTTTTGTCTGTTCTACTTCTCTTTTCCTTGGATTCTGAAACAGATCGAAATGGTAGGAGTTTCAAAGAGCAAAGAAAAGCACACTATGATGAGTATTTGAAAATCAAGGAACTGCGACGTAAAGGCTCTCTCCTTGAGGATGAAGATGATGAAGTGGAGGGTGAGTCATCTTCATCGCTAAGCTCCGGTGTCAAAGACATAGGAATCGGGGAAGGTTCTGAAACTTTGCCGCTAAAATCTTCTGCCAGTCCCGGGCATCTCAGCTAATGGGTTGTAATTGTAGAAGTCTTCCATCCAGTCTGAAAACCCAAAGCTCACTACATTGATGTTCTTTTATGGTAGTTTCATGTTTTTTTTTCCCTTTCATATTTGAGATCACGTGCAAAATTTTATAATTTGGTATGTTTGTATGGAGTTTTGAATCTAAAGACTGATGTTAACAAATAAGTCTATTCTCATTCTCGTTTTATCCCCTCGTCTTTCTCAACCCAAAACCCCGAAATGGCAGCCACCACCATTGTTTAAAGCCCCAATCCTGATAAACCAAGAACTAGAGGGGGGCCATAAAACACAAAGTTAATGATTTAGGGAGACGGTGACATGGTAGTTACACGTCGTAACATGATTAACAGCTGCTGATGTGGTTGTTTTACCAAAACGATGTTTTGTTATGATTATTTTGATGTCTAAAAATTTCTAAAATGATGTTTTGTTAAAAAATTATAAGTGATAGCATATATCTGTTATAAAGATTCTCAACTTCTATTAACAAAATAATGAGCCATGGAAAACGAGAAGGAAAGCAGGAAGCGGAATAAAAGCATAAAACATACAGCGAAGGTAGCCTATTTGAGTCGAGCATGGAGCTGGGTAGTGGGATGAAGCATTCGTGTCGGCTGCTAAGACAAGTTAAAAAAAAAGGAATTTTGGGCCGGGTTTATAGTCAACTTTCTTTGCATTACTGTGATGAGCAAAGCGAAAAGAGTTGTGGGGACAGCTGAAGAGTTTTACCATTTTTTTTTGGTAAACTACACATTTCTTATCCAAACTATCAGTTTTGATCTTTTTTGTATCTAAGCTTTCAACTTTCTTTTTTTTTCCTTTCAAAATTTAACGTTAAGTTTTTAACTGGTACTAAAATAAAACAAAAGCTAAACTTTAAATATGGCTTTGAAAAAAATTGAAAATTTAAGTAACTAAAATGAACCAAACCTAATAATTTAGGTACTAAATACATAGTTTACCCAACATTTATTTATGTTGTTTGTCAACTTTGTATTCCCATCAGGATAGATCCAAATGGGCAGATGGATTAGACGTTCCTGAAAATTTTAAATTAACATATATTTTAAATATATGTTTTTTATATTTTCGTCATTTAGAATTTTATAAGTACACATCCACTCCAAATTTAATTACATTTTAAGATTTTGTTTGTTTCAAAAGTAAACAATTTAATCTCCTTTGTAGATTTAAGGTCGTTTGATGAGTGAAAGCACACAAATACGATTAACCGTAGAAAATAATAAGAGAGTCACTGAAAAATTAAACGGTCATTTATTTTTATTCATCTAATAGTCTTAAATCCGTATAAAACTAAAAGAGTTTTATAATGTGTAAGCAGATCTGACTCTCTCTCTATATATAGGGGTAGGATCCACTTGTCTAGTATAAAAACTAAAGTTTTAAATTGATTTAGAACCATTAAGTGACTATAAATTTATGGATTAGGTTACCTTTTTTGTAAAAATATCTTATAGTCAAATTTTAATCTCAATTATCCATCTATACTCACTTAATAGTATTAACTCTATATAAAACTAAATAGTTATAAATTTATGGGTTATGAACCATTTACACATAGTGTAAAACTAAAAATTTTACACCTTTTTAGGAAACTGATGGATTGAGGAAAATCAAAGACTGATATTAACTCCTTATTTTTTTCCAATGTTTTTAAAACCAGACTAGACCTTGAATCAGTGAAGGTACTAGTTCATTGGTTCAACCGGATTTTATATAAAATAATATTTTTTTTTAATTTTACATAATATTCAAAGCAATATTAATATATATATAACACTTTTTTTTAAGTTTACAATATTAAAAGGTATAAAAACATTACAAGTCATAACATATATAAGTTAAAAAACATAAAATCAAGTGAAACAAAATGATTCAAATCAACTACAACATAATATTTAAGGTAAAACATATTAAATAATAAATATAATTATAGAACTATAATAAAAAAATAAATTTGGGGTTGAAAAAAATCATAACAAACGATGTCGTTTGGTTTAATTTAAAAAAAAAACAATCCCACATGGCTAAGAAACATAGAAGAGCATCCCAACTGACTTCTATAAATACTAGAGGTAATTTGACATTCAAAATCATGGAGTCTTTTAGTGAGCACAGAGCCAATTATTCTTTCGCTTCAATTGAGCTCGAATTTCAGGCTTTAATCGAGCTTCTATTTTTTTTTGAGTTCGAGCCTTTTCGAGTTCAAGTTTCAATATTATATTTCGAGTTCGAGTTGAACTTGATAAGTTTTAGCTCGTGAGTTTTTGAGTCGAGTTGAGCTTACTTTTAAAGTTTTCGAGTTTGAGTCGAGCGCAGTAGTACTAGAGTTCGACTCGGCTCGTTTAACAAATGACGTCGTTTGGTTTAATTTTTTTAAAAGAAAAAAAGAGAATCGGCGGTTCACACCGGTTTTGCCGGTTCACCCCGGTTTTACCGGTTCTCAGCCGGTTCTACCGGTTCTGTGCTCATCCGATTTTGGGAGTTAACCGGACCGGACAGGGCATCGGTTCACGGTTTAACCGGTTGAACCGGCCGGTCTGGTCCGGTTTTAATAACATTATTTTTTCCCAATGAATATCTTCTCATTTTATACTGTTAATCTCAACCTTTAATTTCTTATGGTGAAGAATTTTGGTAACTCAATATTGTGCAATCAAATCATACATCATATTATATATAGGTTAGATCCATTTACACATAGTATAAAACTAAAAGTTTTACACCTTTTTGGAACCGTTAGATTGAGGAAAATCAAAGACCGAGATTAACTCCTTGTTTTTTTTCTAGTGAACATCTTCTCATTTCCTATTACTAATCTTAACCTTTAATTTCTCTTATCCAATGATCCTAAAAAGGTGTAAAAGTAAGAGTTTTATAATGGGTGTAAATGGATCATGTCCCTATATATATATATATATATATATATGGGGGTTAGGATCCACTTACACATAGTATAAAACTTTTATACCCTTTTAAGATCATTGGATGATGAAAAATCAAAGGCTGAGATTAACTCCTTGTTTTTTTCCCACTGAATATCTTTTTATTTCCTATTGTTAATGGTGTAAAACATTTTATAGTTATAAGAGACAATATTAAAAAAGTTGTAAAAAATATAAATTCTAGAAATATACATTTTCTATTGCTAGGACAAGACTCTATTTCTGCTTCTTTGTTGCAATAGTTTTGTGGCTTCCACTTTTCAATTAAAAAAAAGGTAAGTTCATACAAAATTTAAATATTAAAAAATAGTTATATAAAAGAATATTATTTTAATAAATAAATATATCAAAACGGGACCAACTTCATCTAAACATGCATTAGATTCACAAATTTAAGTGAAAAAAGGGACGGCTTCATGCATTAGATTAATCTAAGCACGCATTATTTTACCCTATTTTTGTATGTTGTTCATCAACTTTATATTCTCATAGGATGGATCGAAAAGGGGCGAATGGGACAATCATTCTTTTAAAATTTCCAAATTATTATATATTTTAAATATATTCTTTGTATTTTCTATTAATAATCTATATTCGTCCTTTAGAATTTTACAACTGTAACCCCTTCAAATTCAATTACTTTTTAAATCATGCTTGTTTTGAAATAAAACAATTTAATCTACTTGATAGTTCAATCTAGACAATATATATATGTATCGTACCCATTATACCCACATGCATAATTAATTAAAATGTTATATGTGGAAAGGAGTTGATTGGCTTAGTGTTAAAGAGAGCAATTCTTATTTCCAAAAATAATAAATTGATGGATATATGTTATTAGGGTTGTAAATGAGCAGAGTCGAATTCGAGTATTGCTGAACTCGACTCGACTCGAAAACTCTGAAATGGAGCTCGACTCTGCTCGTAAACTAGTGAGCTTAAAGTTTTCAAGCTCGACTGAAACTCAAAATCATGAGCCGAAGCTCGTAAAAGCAAGAAAATGCTCGAAAAGAAAAAAAATCTTAAATTTAACTTGATTAAAGCTTCAAACTCAAACATAAACCTTAAATACATGAAAACCTTATACTACATTTTTAAAAAAACCAACACATAAATTTTAATATTATTAATAATTTATTTTTAAAAAATAAAATCTTTATTTATTATATTTTCGAGATGCTTACGAGCTTTTCGAGTCGAGTATCAAGTAGTTCGTTTTGGCTTGTTAAGAACTCAAATCGAGCTCAAGTCAAGTCCATTCGAGTCAAGTATTTATCGAACTTTGATTGAAATAATATCGATCATGATCTATCTCGTCTCATTTGCAATCCAATATGTTATGAAGCTTGACGTTGATAAGCTTCTTTTAGTTTGGTGTTCTACTTTCTATTAGGAGAAAGGGAGTGAAGCACCTTAAATGGGAAACAACAAAAAGCTGTGGTTTTCAATTAGGAACCCGACCAAACACGTGTTAGATTCCATACAGATATATATGTTCTGAATTTAACATTTCAAGCTTCTGTGACTGAGAGGGTATCTATAACAACCCAATCATTTCTTAGGGACCAAAATGGGACGGTGAAAACACGTATTTAAGGACATACGTAAAATTTTATATTACAGATAAATTTGTAAAATTTTAAGGGTGAAAATATATTATTAATAGAAAATACGAGGGAAGTTGTTGGGTACATGACTCCAAAGCCAATAGTAGGCATCCACATGTTCATGTTGTTCCTAGTGTTTGTAGTTGCACGTCGTAATATAACTAACAGTTGATGATGTGGTTGTTTTACTAAAACGACGTTTTGGTACGATTATTTTAATATCCAAAAAATCCAAAATCACGTCGTTTTGTCTAATAAAAAATGATTGAAACCGTTGTATTTTTAGGTTAACTTCTATTCTATTTTTTTATAAGTTTTATTTCTTTTAATTTAATCCTAACATGTTATTTATTTATTTGAGATTAATCTGATCTAAACATTTTCAACTATTTGACAATGAACAATCAAATACTCCGTAGTTGCGGGTGCTCGAATCCGAGACCGCTAGGGATAACAACTATCCCTTTAACCACTGAAGTCGTTTGATTTGTTAATTATTTTTATTATTACTACTATTAACATTTTTTGTGTGTGTGTTTCATTTATTTTAGAAATCTTGTATTCATATTCTAATTAAAATGATTACATTTTAAAATCAAATTTC